AGCGCGTCCCCGCCGTATTTCTCCTCCATCCCGGGGCTCAGGAGCCTCCGCCGCCGCTGCCCCCGCCGCAGGGTCTCCTCATGTCTGGTCGCTGCCGGGGAACCGCGGGTCAGGCGCGTCACTCACTCCCCCATGGCCGCTGCCCTGCCGGGTCCCCGCAGCCCAGGCCGCCGCCTCCGCTGTCCCGGCTCCGGCTCGAGAGCGCGCTCCAGTCCCGACTAGGCCGCGGACCCTTCCGGCGCCGCGGCGCGCAGCGAGGGCGCACCGGCGAGGACGTTGCCGGGCCACGTCAGTAGGTTTAGCAGCCCTCACTTCCGGGGAGGGGCCAAAGCTGTACCTGCGCACTGCAGAATACGTGCCTTCCCCCCCCCCCGTCCACCACTTAGGCTCCTCCCACCTCCGGTCACTCACGGCTCGAATCCCCGCCCCCTAACCAGCTGTCCACGCGGCTGGTGCACGTACCTTTCCCTGCAGTGCCACCTATGGGCCACTTGGGGTACCTGGGGTTCCTATAGCGCGTGGGGGCGGGCACAGATTCACTATGTATGGTAAAATACTAGTCTTCAGCATTAGGGGTTGTGTGTGTGTGTGTGTGTGTGTGTGTGTGTGTGTGTGCGCGTGTGCGTCTGCTCTCGCGCCAGTACTAGTGTTTGAACTCAGAGCTTCATGCTCTCACTTGGCGTTTTTCTCTCAAGGCTGGCATTTTATTACTTGAGCCACACCTTCACGTCCTTAACCTAGATTCTTCAACATACCCCCTGCCCTGAAGTTGTACCATATGGATCAACATTTATTTGAAGGGAAGGCTCAAAGTCTTTAAAAGTGTGTATGACCCCTCCTTCCTCAAGAGATAACTATTTTTGAATCTGTGAAGATTCTGTAACCAATTGTGGAAGGCCAGGACCATCTACTGTAACAAAAGAACCGGGACAGAGGTGATTGCTTTGATGGTTTTTATTTGATTAGGACAGGAGGACTGGTAGGAACGGCTGAGCTGAGTCCATAGAGGTGAAGTGAGGACAGAACACACTAAGGGAAGCATGTTTTTAAGTATTTTAGTAAATTTTTAAATTTCCTTTTTGAAAAATACAGATTTTCAGTTATGAAACTGCTATTAATCCAGACACATCTGTATAAGGGTGTATAGGAATATGGGTACCTGTGTCATCTTGGTTTGAGTCCTACTGACTAATAGTTCATCAGTTTTCTTATCTGGAATATTACTATTTATATCATAAGGTTGTTGAGAGGATTATATGTATGAGTGTCAAAAGTAGCTAGTGAATTATGTTAATAAATGTTAATTGTTACCCATAGGGAAGTTTGGGGAGAAGGACTTGGAGATGTAAATAGGGGTTTAAGCAGGATCAATGATAGTGTTCTACTTAATTTCAATATATACAAACACCCTAGGAACATATAAGAGATCTCATGGTCTCTGCTTGTTAAGATTGTATAACTTATTATAGAAAATTGCATGCTAAACACACAAATGTTAAAGTTTCTCAAATAAGGGGTGGTAACAGGAAAAGACACATAGGGGGCTGGGAATGGGGCTTAGTTGTAGGTGCTTGCCTAGCATGCATGAAAACCGGGGTTTGATTCCTCAGTACCACATAAACAGAAAAAGCTGAATGTAGTGCTGTGGCTTAAGTGGTAGAGTGCTAGCCTTGAGCAAAAGAAGCTCAAAGACGGACAGTGTCCAGGTCCGGAGTTCAAGCCCTGGGAATGGTAAAACAAAAAAACAAAAACAAAACAAAAAAAGACACATAGGTAGATATTCACAGATAAAACTTCAATAAGGTATTTTTTTTTTTTTGGTTGGTCATGGGATTTGAACTCTGGGCCTGGGCGCTGTCCCTGAGGTCTTCAGCTCAAGGCAAGCTTTCTACCACTTGAGCCACAGCACCACTTCCAGTTTTCTGGTGGTTAACTGGAGGTAAGAGTCTCAGATACTTGCCTGCCTGGGCTAGCTTTGAACTGTGATCCTCAGATCTTAGCCTCCTGAATAGCTGGAATTACAGGTGTGAGCCACTGGTGCCCAGCTTTTTTCTGTTGTTGTTGTTGTTGTGTAATTCCTAGGGCTTGAACTCAGGGCCTGGTCACAGATGTGAGCCACCACACCTAAGAGCAAGGCTTTTCTATCAGTGCTATTAATCTTTCTTTCTTTTTTTTTTTTTTGGTCATGGGGCTTGAACTCTGGGCCAGGGTGCTGTCCCTGGGCTCTTCAGCTCAAGGCAAGCGCTCTACCGCTTGAGCCATAACATCACTTCTGGCTTTTTTTGTTTATGTGGTACTGAGAAATTAAACCCAGGGTCTCATGCATACTAGGCAAGCACTCTACCACTGAGCCACCTTCCCAGCCCCTATAGATGATTTTTTGTATGAGTGTGTATATTTAGGTATGTATATATGTAGGTATTGCAGGTCTTGGAGCTTGAATTCAGGGTTTAGATGCTGTTCCTGAGCTTCTTTTGCTCAAGGCTAGTGTTCTACCACTTGAGCCACAGCACCACTTCTGGCATTTTGGTGCTTAATTGCAGATAAGAGTCACAGGGACTTTCTAGCTTCGTGGCTTTGAACCATAATCCTCTGATCTTAACCTCCTGAGTAGTTGGGATTATAGGCATGAGCCACTGGTACCTGGTACATGATTTACATTTTTTGTTTGTTGGTCGTGGGGCTTGAACTCTGGGCCTAGGTGCTGTTCTTCAACTCTTCAGCTCAAGGCTAGCACTCTACCACTTGAGCCACTGCGCCACTTCTGGTTTTCTGAGTGGTTTATTGGAGCTAAGAGTCTCATGGCCTTTCCTGCCTGTCAGGCTTTGAACCATGATCCTCAGATTTCAGCCTCCTGAGTAACTAGGATTACAAGCATGAGCCACCGGCACCTGGCTATGATTTACATTTTTTGTTTCAACTTCTAAACATCTTAATTTTTCTGAATATTATTTCATTAAATATTATTATTATTTTTTGTCAATCTTAGGATCACTTCCTTAGCTTAGTTGCTTGGCTCTACAACTTGAATCATGTTTCCAGCCCATCTTTTTGCTGGTTATTTTTTTTTTTTTTTGGTCTGGTTGTGGGGCCTGAACTCTGGGCCTGGGCGCTGTCCCTCAGCTCTTCAGCTCAAGGCTAGCACTCTACCACTTGAGCCACAGTGCCACTTCCAGGTTTTTCTGCTTATGTGGTGCTGAGGAATCGAACCCATGGCCTCAGGCTGCAAGGCAAGCGCTCTATCACTGAGCCACCTTCCCAGCCCTGGTTATTTTGAAGATAGAGCCTCAGTGGCTTTTCTGCCTGAGCTGGCTTTGAACAATGGTTCTCCAGATATTCGCTTCCTAAATAGGATTACAGGCATGTGCCACAGGCAGCTAAAATATTATCACTTTTATAATTTGAAAATGTTTATAATTTGAAAAGTGTTAAGCTGGGGAGTGGCTCATACCTTTAATTCTAGCTATTCAGGATGCTGAAATCTGGGGATTGCAGTTCAAAGCCATCCCAGGTAGGAAAGTCCCTTGACTCTTTATGTCCAATTAACCATCAGAAAACAGGAAGTGGCAACTGTGGCTCAAAGCGATAGAGTTGTTAGCCTCGAGCAAAAAAGCTCAGGGACAGTGCCCAGGCCTTGAATTCAAACCCCATGCCTGACAAACCAACAAACCAAACTTTTATAAGTGAACTAGAGGAAAAACTATAAACCACATTTATAAAAAAAACAACAACAACCAAACAAGCAACTGTAGAGCTGGCGGCATAATAGAGTTCCTGTAATCTTAGTACTGAGATTATATAGAAGAGTGAGGACAGCTACTTAGGATCATACAGAGAGGAGCCAACTGATCTGCGATGAGGTTTGGAGCCCCAGGGAGGGATAGTGAAATTAATATTGGCATCTCAATATTGATGTACAACCATGCAGTGACTTTAGAAGAATAAAAATAGTGGCTCATGTCTGAAATCGCTCATGTCTGAAATCCCAGACACTCAAGAGGCTGAGATCTAAGGATTGGAGTTTGAAGCCAGCTTGACCTTGAGCCAGAAGTGGAGGTGTGACTGAAGTGGTAGAATGCTAGCGTTGGGTGAAAAAGTGTCATGAGAGAGTGAAGCCTTGAGTTCAGACCTCAGTGTACACACACACACACACACGCATGCACGCACACACACACACACACATGCACGCACACACACACACACACACATGCATGCATGCACACACACGGCAGATTGATGATAGCCTAAGTTATCTGAGCTGCAGTCCCTGAGATACCCATTCTCCTAGAGAAGCTGAAGTCCACTCTGTCATCTAGTCTTGGTCATCAAGTAGGACCTAGGAACCTATCATCCATCCAGTGCATTTATAGGCATGTGTTAGGTTTCTAGTGTTTGTGCCGGCCTAGGAGAAGGGAGATGAAAAAATGTTGAAACCACTAGAGGACGGCATAATACAAC